TGATTTCAAGTAGCAGGATTTGACTTATTTTTTTTTTTTAGCACAGTGTTTTCGTTACAAATGCACTTGTAGGTGCATTGACAAACTGGTGGTATTTGTATCAACATTTTAGTAGGTTCCTTATAGTTGCATTTTTCTTTCAGCTTGCCAGGAGTAAAGAAGGCTTTGGGGAAATACGGTCCTGCTGATGTTGAGGACACAACAGGTGCAGCCACAGATAGCAAAGATGATGATGACATTGACCTTTTTGGATCTGATGATGAGGAGGTACTTGTGACCTTTCTGTATTATGTTTGGGGTTTTTTTGAAATTAACCCAGGTATGCAAATTTTTGCCTTAGCTAGTTTAAGTTACTTAAGTTTGTGACCTTGATAAGAGATCCTGCTTGTAATTCTCAAATTCAGCTATCTTTGAAGAATAGGAAAGCTTGGAAGGTAAACACTTGAGTTAGAAAATACTGTGTTGCAATGGGGTCAACTGTCCAACTTTGACTGGTTACATGATGAATAAAACAAAAAATCACCATCTTTCGGCTGACAGTTGTGATGTTTTGTTTTTATCTGAGTAGATGCCAGTCAGTTTGGTAATGCTCTGAGGATGTGAGGTTTTGGTGCTTTTCTGTAACTGTAGATTTCTCTTTCAGGAAAGTGAAGAAGCAAAGAAACTGAGGGAAGAACGCCTGGCACAGTATGAGTCAAAGAAGTCCAAAAGTATGTGTGCCAAGAACTTCTTAATTTTTTGTGCTTGGGTTAATTTTCATGCATTTGAACAGGGTGGCTGGAAGCACTAATTAATTGTAGTAATAGATCAGCTTGACTGAAATGAGACGGGAGTGATTACCTTTATTGAATTGCCTGTATGCTCAGTCCTCCCATAGTAAATGGGAACCTTAACATACTTTTTGTCCTGCTTAATACACTCCTGCTTGTTTTTCTAAGAGGCTGAGCTTTCTATATAAACAGATGTAACTCAAGGATTATCTTTCAAAGTTTAGAGAAAAGGCTGCAATATGCAAGTCCCTCCACAGCTACTGGTCTGGAACTGTTCAGAACTGTAGCAGTTGCAGTATTCCCTCTGTGGAAAATAAACCGTTACACAGCGTTAAGCTCCTTTTCAGATCCTTTGAAAAGGACTTCCTATGTAACAAACATTGTCAGCTGCTTAATCTGTGTTCTGTTATGAGACTTGTTTTTTAAGAACACAATGGATTTACACACTGAATGCTGGGATATACGTAGCTGCAGTACTTCAGAACTGTACATTGGTACCAGAGGCCTGTCACAGCAATGTGAGGAGGTTCTTGTTCCTGGAATTGGAAAAGTTGCTCACATAATAAAACTAATTTGCAAGTATATTCATGAGTGTTTGAAAACTTCCTAGCTTTTAAAGGCAATTTTCTTTCCCCAGAACCAGCTGTTGTTGCCAAATCATCAATCTTGCTTGATGTGAAACCTTGGGATGATGAGACAGACATGGCCAAACTAGAGGAGTGTGTTCGAAGCATTCAAGCAGATGGCCTGGTTTGGGGATCTTGTAAGTATGAGAAGATTCCAGAGCAGGGAGAGAGTGTAGTCCCTTAGGATACATTGTATGAATAGTTAGACTTGTGGTCACTGCTGATCTCTGAAAATGTAGCTAAAACAGGGTGGGAACTGCAATACCACTGTACTTCAGTATCTTGACATAGTCAGAAAAGGTGATTAGTGCAGCGACCCAGTTAAGAATCAAATACAGATTTTAAAAACTATAAACCTAAGATGCTGTTATCCTGCATCTCCCTGTACAATTCCTGATGCAGCAGACAAACACCCATACACCCACATCACTGGTTTGGAGAGGAGGTGGAGGTCCCTTTTCAATCACTTGTAGTGAATCCTGCATTGTTAATTAGGTAGTCCATAATGTGGAACAAATGATGTTTTTATGTATTCCTGCAAACTCCTTTGGTCAGTTCAGTCTTAGATCTGTGTTTTTAAGAGATTCCACCAATTGAGGAGTACTAAATGCCTTTTTTTATTTTACAGCCAAGCTAGTACCTGTTGGCTATGGTATCAAAAAGCTTCAGATCCAGTGTGTTGTTGAAGATGATAAAGTTGGAACAGATATGCTGGAAGAGAGAATAACAGCTTTTGAAGATTATGTACAATCAATGGATGTAGCTGCTTTCAATAAGATTTAAATCTTGATATATCTAGAATAAATGTTGTTGCAAAAAATATGCTGTGCCTGTGCTTAATTCAAAATTACAGAGTAATCCAACTCACAAATGTAAGATTTTGTTCATGGGTAAAGTAGAAGCTGAAACTGAATTTCAAGGTTGCTCTGATACCCCACTGTAGTACCCAAGAGCATGAGCAGAGAAAATAGAAAATTTACATTTACCATCAAAATGGAGTTAACATTACCATGGCTTTAAAATGCTCAAGTGTTCTTTGCTCCACTTGCAGAGGAAATTGCATCTTTGGAAATGTCTGTGATTCCTCTGGAAGGAGGGATGACTAAGGGAAAAGAATAGGGCTCAGTCAAAGTGCAAATAACTTTTTAATGGATAAGTAGTCTAAGTTCCTTTTGTTTAATAAGGGTGGTGACTAACCAAACATACCATGGCTTTTGTTGAAGGCTAAACCAGTGCTTTGGTGAGAGTGAGATGAAGGTAACTGAATCAACTGTAGTCTCAATGGGACTTGGGATTACCCTGGTACCTTCTCATGTGTTGTGTGACTTGTTCCTCTGAGGGTTGGAAACCTTTGCAGTGAAATGTCAAGTTTTGCTTCCTTCCCAGGGGTTCTTGGTACAGCAACTAATGTTGATCATAAACTGCGCCTCTGGGAGGCGCTGCGAGCTCGGTGGCAGCGGTGTCCGAGCCGGGCAGCGTTGGGAGTGAGCAACGGGAGCGCTGCCCAACGGGAGCGCTGCCCGCGGGTTGCAGCTAATGCAGATGTCTGCTTTACTTATATAAGAAACTTGACGCATGCTCCTGGCTAAAAACAACAACTAAAAAAAATTCGTTGAAATAAAATGCAAATATATAAAGTAGCAAAATTAACTCCAGTTTGAGCAGCTTACTCGGGTCTAGATTAGCTTCTAGATTGATACTTTTTTTTTTTAATGATTGAAGAATGAATCAGAAATAAATTGTTTTCAAAAAAATTTCCATAGGAATGATATGAATGTAAAAGCTGTTGCAGTTGTGAAGCTTCTAGACAAATTCACAGTTCTGTGCCTTCCATTGGACTGACAGGATTTATTGTGACCATGAAATGGATGCCTTTTCTGTGCCACGTTGGTCTCTGAGATGAAGATGCTCAGTGCCAAAGCCTGACAGCAGCAGCTTAGATAACTCCTTTTGTTCTTTTTTTCAGAGAGCATTTGTGTGGTTATCTGGCACAGCAGGTCCTGTTTCTCCTTGTCTAAAGGTCTACCAGCTTCAGATAACGTAAGATCTTTGTTTATAATTTGTCTCAGAAAAAAAAATCTGCCTGCTAAAGGTTTAAAGCATGGTTAAAGATTTGAAATAAGTATAATTACAGGCTCACTCGCCACCTTCCATAAACTCCGAAAAGGCTAACTTCATCCTGTGTGTAACTAATGCACAGTACCACTTCTGTGGCAATTCTCTAGCTGTTGCTTCTGCTAAATCAGGTAGCTTAGTTTTAGCAATTCTGTCATGGCTGCTGTTAAAATCAAGAAATTAGTAAATGCCTCATCAGAAAAACAAAAATTCTGCTACAAAAATATAATTTTTATTATCCTTGGCCATCACTGCTTCTGACTTCCCCTTCAATGTGCTGCTTACCTTTAAACTCCTTCCTTGGCCTTGAAATTAAAGCTCTAACTGGATATAATGGTTTAATTTATAGACAGTAACATTGCTAAAATACAGCCCCATGAGCCATCCATGTGACCTGCTAGACTGGATTTGTGTGTGTGCTACATTTTTGCTAAGCATGCATGTACAAACTCTTCAGTTGTTGAGATTTCTTTTGATTTTTCTTTTGTTTGATGATTTTTTCCCCTGATGTTAGAAGGGAAGTTGCTGCACAAGAACAAAATAAAAAAAAACCCTAGAGAGCACAGTCTCCCCAGTGAGAAAATAGATTGGCATGTGGACAAGAGAATTCCATATAATCCACATTTATCTACATGAGAGGGTTTTGTGTAGTGTTTGGGTATGTGCTGGTGTATTACTGCGGCATTGTGCCTGTGAAAAATCAGCACCTTAGAGTAAACAAGGCAGGTATCCCAAGTGCACCCTGTAACAGAAAGATCAGTAGAAATTTCCATACTTTAAATCTGTGATACATGGCAGTACTGGGAAAAGAGTTTTAACAAAAACTAACCCACATAAAAACCTTCAGAAGCACAAACTGTCCAGGAAGGAGATAAAATTAACCAGAACCTATCTATTATAAAATCTGTCAATAGCTCTTTCCATAGTATCTCTTACCATGATCAGATAGATCCCCTTTTCTGGCTTTTCTTTTCTGTTGTGGTGGGTTGAACAAGCATCCTTCAGTCCAAGAAGCAGAGAATTGTTGGTTTTTTCTTGCATTCACTTGGGAAACAGAAACTTAGAGCATTATCTGTTTTGTTTAGGTATCTTCCATTACTTTTGAAGAAATGATCTGGAGATAATTCTGCAACTGATCTTGGTGTGAATGGTAGTAGTTACACTGCAAAATTGTTAATCCACTTAATTCCATAGATCAAGGCTGATTTTGGCCCTATTCAATTCTATTCTCTCTCTCTCATCTGCTTCAGGGCATGCTTTCTGATCATCTATGCAAGACAGCATATATGTTCTCCCTTTTGAAAATCAGCCTGTGTACTGAATATAGGAATATATGTGCGCACATAGCTGATGTGCAACAAGAAACCTTAATTCCCATAGTAGAAAGAGTCAGTGCTTGCTTTCATCTTCCAAAGTCTTTGGGAAGGAGCTGTTATAAGAAAGGACAGTTACTGCATATTGCTGCTAAGAAAAGCAAATGAACACACTCTTTGGAAACAACAAAATTTTATTACTTCATTTGGACTACAGTCAGGAAAGTACATCATTCCTAGAAAGATGTCAGGGAACATGTGAAGAAAAACTCCAAGATGTTTCATTTAGGCATATTCAGCAGCACAGTGCCAAAATATTATGATGAGTAACTATGTACCAGGCAGCAAATGTCTCAAAGGAAGAGTGCTGCTTACTAGCTTTCTAGCCTGAAGTGAAATACACTGAAATTCCACTGATCCTGCCTGACTCTCCCAGGCTCTGAAACCAGAGCCCAAAGAAATAGTTAAAGACCAGTCAGACTGTTTCTATTTGTACAGTTACCAATACTGGGTGTGGTCATGCATACATATATATATTTTATACAAATGCAAATCTATTTACATATAAGGCCTCAATTACAGTATAAATGCTACTAATGTGTGTTGGCAGGCCATAGAAACTAGGTAGATTATCTGAAAGGCAATTTTATTCTATATACCTAAGCCAATAGCAAGTTAAAAACAGTTCAAATTTACCCAAAGCTCTGTGCTTTTACTTTTAGTGGAGTTTCGTCCCACATTCAACTTTTTAATTAAGTGGTATTGCATCAGAAATTGATTCACTCCACATAGCATATCTGTATGTATATATATTTGCATTGGTGTGTGTGATTCTGCAGCAAGCAACAAGTTGGAACAGAATACAGCATAACTGGGACTACTTCATCTTTCTTATGGGAGTGGACTCCATTTCCTGGATGAACTGTCTTGCCTCTCATTTGGCAATGAAGTCCAAATTTGGCTACAGACTTGTAACAGAATATTGTTGAATTCACTACACCCATTTTTTGAAGCTTGACATTAAGGCAAACAAAATGTTATTTCTTTATCTTTGCTTGACAGAGCAATAAAAAGCAACCAATAGTTGTAAACTGCTGTAAGCCTAAAAACTTAAAAGAAGTATGGCACAGGACCTTTAATCTCAGCTTCTGCAAGAAATATTCTCACTAATTCTTTGCACATTTCAAATGAACCTAATACCTGTATGAAACATCTGCTCAGTATTTCGCACCCAGCTAGTGCTAAAAGCACAAGAATAAGTGACCAGAAAACATAGGGTCTCCTGTCTTAATTTTGAGTATAAGATAAAGAGCATTGGGAGAAGACAGATTTTATTTCCGTATTTTTCTTTTTTGACAAGAGAAGGCAGCAATTCAGTGTTCTCTGTCTTGGGATCCTTCTCCAGCTGCAGAGCAGAGCCACTTCACTTAGCTGGGATGTAGCTAGGTGATTCCTACTTCAGGCAGCACTAGGCAATCAGGACTCATGGCCACTGATGTATGGCTACAACCTCTTGGCTGAGACTGCCTCAAACAAGAGAGGTATCAGTGATGGCAAGGAGGAATATTTTTATTATGTGCTCTTTTGATATCAATGAGGTATGGAACCATAGCAAAACAATGGGATTAAAACAATATTCCTCATCAAAACCCCAGTTGGAGTAATTCCACTTATGCTGACAACTTTCAGCTCAGGCTGTATGTGCATTGCAAGGACACCACACCCAAATGATGTGTCCGTTAAAAACCTTTCAATTAAAGCAGCAAGTGCAATTAAGCCAGCTGTTTATAGAAAACTGTATATGCAAAGATGCATATCTGACTGTCAGATGTGAAGTCAAGAACACCTCCAAATCTCCCGTCAGCTCTTCTGCAGAGGGATGTTGACGAGAACAGTCACTGGGCAGTCTCACAATAGTGCACAGGCGCATGGCTGTTGTCCGAGCTCCACAGCTGCTCGCTGACAGTTCCCGAGCGGCTCACTTCCCACAGAGCCAGTTTTAGTACCTCAGAGACTGTTGTCTTGACCTGGGCCTGGAACTTTTTGCTTATCAGAACATAGAGGATTGGATTGAGGCAACTGTTGATGAAACCAAGGCCAGTGGAGAGCGGAATGCCATCCTGCAGTAAGTCATGCAAGTTTTCGTCATGGTGAGCAGACAGCTCCACAATGCTGAATATGTGATACGGTGTCCAGCAAACAAAAAAAGCTACAACTACAGCAATGATGGTCCAGAAAAGCCTGCTAGAAGTCAACACAGTTCTCCTCTTCACTTTGACAATCAGCAACGAGTAGCAAATGACCATGGTCACTAAAGGGAAGAGGTAACCAAATGCAAGCCTCACCCAAATGAGAATGTGATGTGTCAGCAAAATAAGTTCTCTGTCGTGCACATGGAAGTTGTTGTAGCAAATGGTGACATTGTTCAGAACCGTAGCTGTGTCTCTAAAGTATAAGGCAGGGCCACCAATAATTGCAGCTGACATCCAAATGACCCCACTGAGAACAAGGGTGTTCCTTACAGTCCGATACTTGTAGGAAAAGACTGGGTGGACAAGGCGGATATAGCGGTCAAGGCTGATGAATGTCAGGAAGAAAACACTGGCAAACATATTAAGTAGTGCAATGAATGAGTTCATTTTGCAGAGCCACTTCCCAAAAGGCCAGTGGAAGCCCATTGCCACATACGTAATATAGAGGGGCAGGAAGAGAACAAAAATGAAATCTGCAATGGCCAGATTGAGGAACCAGAGGGTAGAAACAGATTTATCCCATTTAAAGCCCATAAACCAGATGACAATGGCATTACCTGGCACTCCCAGCAGAAATGCCACACTGTAAAAGAAAAGGGAAATAATATGGGCAATGCTGGGGGAGGACTGGGGTGACTCATCTTCCTCAGACAGGTCGTAGAAATAAGAATAATTCTCAAAATCTTCAAATGTCATGCTGCAGAGTGCTTTCTGGGGAAGAAAAGAAATGAAATGGTCAGAGGAGAAAAGTTTTACTGTGCTGTAAATAGTAAACTGCAATTCTTTTAAGTTCTTGTTCATAAAAAAACCCCAAAACATTGACTTACATATCTATCGCATTTTATGTCAGTTGCTAGCACAAAGCTCGTGAAGAATTCTGGTCACAGGCATTTTAAGGAATGTTCAAATCAAAACAACACTTGAAATCTTCAGGAATTGTTGTCCACATGTTGACTTCTCAGTGACAGCACTGAGCACAATATCACTGGTAAATTTCTAGGTGACCAGATGCAAAATTTTACTGAATGATAGAAAAAGAATGATTTTACTATTCTTTTCTGGTCAAGTTTCATACTTTATTGCTCTGTTCCTACATGAAGCAAGTTTTATAGATTATATCTGTCTAAAATCAGAGGAGCATCAGACATCTATGTAGGCAAAAAAGTTCACTTAAAACACCAGGAAGGCATTTTTTATAAAATTACACCCACCACCCCCGCCTCAAATTATAGTTGACAAAATGACAGTGATTTCTCAAGCAACTAAAAGTTCATGGGTTTATTAATCTCTACCATGTACCTTTTGTATCAAGGAATGATGATTCAACATATTAGATTTCCTCAATGCAGCAAAAGATGTACAGAAAGAAACATACAGAACATATTTCAGGGATAATACATACAACTATACTATTCTTCCACCAGTGAGCTGAGAAACAGGTATAGATGAAAGAAAATAAAGCTTCCCATGAATACAACAGACACTGTAAAAGCTATGGATGAAAATGTGCGTGCCTCCTTTTTTATTTTTATTTCAAAACAGAAATTTCAGAATTTTCTCAGTTTTTTTCTCTTGCAAAAGCATCTGGAACTTACAAGTACAACATGATTTTTCATATAGGAATTTTCTTATGTGGGAGGGAGAGAAGGCAGCAGGGGAGAGGAAAGTGGAATATAAACAAAAGAAAAACTCTGAAAACAAAAGTATATTAAGGAGAAAACAGATAGCAAACAGAGGTTGAACAAAAAAAAAAAAAAGGCAGTCAGAATTTATGTGACAAAGCTGCATAACACTACAGGTGGCCACAGTCTGACAAAAGTATCTGCAATGGTCAAAACAATTATTCTGCCAAGTTCTGTTATCATTTAAAGCTATGTTGTCTGGTTGGACTCAGTTGCACTGAGAACCTGTCCCTGAGAGCAGGATGCAACCAGTCCATTAGCTGTACCATGAATGATCTTACCGCTACACTCCTGAGTGCTATCTCCATTCCGAAACCGAAATCCAGCCCGAGCTTTTGGAACTCAGCCCTGCATTCCTGTAATTCCATTCATTACAGCATGCTAAGGACAACAGGAGAGGGGTCTCCTGAGCACGCTGCCTGCAGAACAACATCTGCAAGCTTGCATTCATGTACATACCTTTCCTCCAAAAAAGTAGTTCTCCCAGTTTGAAAGGATTACTCACACAAGTGAAGCTACGCATGTGCACACGCATTAGCAGGATTAGATTTCTCATTTGTAGATGGATGGACAAGGAAGAAAAAAAAAAGGTTGTGTAATTTTATATCTCTTGATTAAAAAAAGATGTAGTAAGTAAGAGTCATTACAGCCTGTTCTGTCAAGAGGCTATGATAGCATTTGCCCTTTTTAATTTACATCAGGCTGAAGGAATGTTAGTTGGTTGCTGTCCTGATAAAATGATACTTATTGGGCTATATTTATGTAATTACCCCTACATTATGTAATCCACCCTTTTGAGGGTGGATTCTGCATTAAATACCACTACCACCCATCTGAGTAATTTTTTCAGACAGCCTAACAGCTGCTGAGAGAATAGTATAAACATGGAACAGTACCACGAACATCTGGAACAACAATATATTTGGACAGTTTCAGAGGACAGTCGGGTTAATAATTGGATTTTAAGTGGTTTTGCCTATATAAAGAACTATACCTTCAAATCTGCAAAATCTGGAGATTGCATTTGCAATTAAACAATAAAAAAAATTCCAACTCTTTAAACTCTTGCTGAATAACATTCTATTTCAGACACTAATAAATTTCTCTTTTAAGAGTTAGCACAACATAATAATACTTGAATTCAAACATTTCCTCACAGACTTTTTTTCCGTAATGTTGCTAAAAAACCCACAATGACAAACATTTGCCTATCGCCCAACAATGTTAACTTTATGTTTAGTATTTCAAAGATGGTGTATAGCAGGAGAAAGAAAACTTACATAAATAAATGCCAAATATTTACCAAGCCTCCAGTAGTTTAAAACTCCATTGAAAGAGCACACCTTCAGGATGCAATTATTTTTCCGAGCTTATATGTTTCCTTATCTCTAGTCTTCCAATGCAATGACTCTTTGGCAATGGGAGTAAGAAAGCAGGAGGAACGTTGTTTACCACTGCTCCCAGTGCACAGATGCTGAAACTAAACTCTGTGTCTGGGGTTCAGCAAAGACTGCCAATTACATTTGCAAAGTCCAGGAACTTTTACCTCTGGCACTGACATATATGAAGTACTTCTATAACAGGACTCAGTGTTAAGCCCTGTTCTGAAAAAGATAAGCAGTAGGTGATTGTCAGGGAGCTACTCTGGTTTACCAACAAGGACACAGATTTTTTTCTATTAACCATCATTCAGCAGGGGGATGTTTCTTTGTGGTCTTAAAACACACTATCTCAAATACATGACTCTGAAATTAATAAATTTTCAGAGTCATAGCTGTCTTGCAGTTCAAGTTTAGGTCTTGAAAGTGAAGAAATCTAATTGTATTCCTCATTCTGACACTGATTTCCTGTATGGTCTTTGATAAATGGCCTAATTTCCAAGCTGGAAAAAACTCTCATGAACCTGTCTGCAAACTGAGGCTCAGTAGAGAAAACAATACTTTTAGACAGCAGTTTCTTCTTAGCTTTCAGGCAACTGTTAGAAAGGGTAAGGGAGGTTTGGTGCGGTTCACTGGCTCAGTCTCTGCTGGTCTGGGGAGCCAGTGCATGGAAAATATTTTTCAATAAACAGGAAAGTGTGGTTAGAGGTCTGCCAATAAGACTTGGGAGCAGCCACAGGTTACAGAACAGTGTTCTATTGCCTATGGATTAATATAACCAAGTTTAGACTTCATCCTGTCCTTTTTTTAAATTTTATTTTAAATACTAAACACCCTGTGTAACGTGTATGCGCAGCAGTGGTTTGACGAGTCTGTTCCTGTTTGCTGAGGTCATAAGCTGCTTTGAAAACTGAGCCTCCTTGGTTCAGTTGCTTAATTATGAAAATAGTTGACCAGGAGGTTTCGTTTCCTGCCCCCTTCTGTAAAACAGAAGTTAATTACTGAACGACTTCATAGGAATATCACAGGCTAGCACTTGGTGTTTCTAGATCTTGGGACAGAAAGCAGAATTAGCAGGAAATACAAATCATTAAGACAAATTTCTAAAATACAAAGCCACAGAACTGCTGAAAACAGACTTCACTGTGTTGCACAAAATGTCTTTCTCTGAATTTCAGCAGGGAATTACAAACTTGGATCTCAGTTGACATATTCATAGTTTTTTACTTAAAGTACCTAGAGTTTGTTTTCTCTGCCCCTATGTAGTTAAGCCATAATGACAACTTGGACAAATTGTTGGATCTGCCTAAAATAGAATAGCTTTTGTCACACTAAGAATGGCTGTTATGACATGGGACCGGTACTTTGGAATCTATTCATGGCTAGGCCACATGCACCCTGTTTGACCAGGGGAAGTCGTTTGACCTCTCCACACCTCAGCCCTGAGGTCAGTGGAACAGCTTTGGAGTTAAATTACATTGCATTTTCAGTCTAAAATAGAAGAAAACAAACAAAATAGTTGCAATTTTCGCCCACTTCACTTTATGCAAAGTCTTTGTGGGGGTTCAAAGTTCCCTGGGCACCACACAAGTTAGGACCCAACTGAATTACACTGGCAGTTTATACCACATGTTTGGTATAACACAGCCTCTCTCTCACATTTGGTCCTCATTATCTTTGAATTTCACGGAGGTCCAAGGAAGAGTTTATTCATTGCCTATGTCAGTTAAAAGTTAACACAAATATTTGAGTGGTAGTCCCCAAATTTATTTGTTCAGTGTGATAAACAGTGTTCAGAGCCCCTGGCCAGCTAGATTGGTTTCAGAGGTCACAGTAGTGAGTTCTGACTTACTAGGAAAATCACAGTTTGCAGAGTTGGCTGTCTCAACAGTTCAGTTCATAGAGGGAATATATTACACAAACTCTCCTTTTAATGTCTTTATGAATAATTTTGAGCATATCACATTCCATGTGTATTATTTATGGTTAAAGGAAAGCTTATTTGATTGAGTCGCTTCAACTTCTGTCATTTGCAAGCACCAAATGTTGGAGAACAACTAGTTTCACAAAAAAAAGCCTCCTTGTCATACTGTGCATCAGCAAGTTTATCTGGGCATTGAATCCACTTGAGAGCCCTCAAATATTTTTCTGGGAACTTCTGAGGTGACAAATTTTGAATTTATCTAGCTCAAAAAACAAAACATGAAATTCACGGGGTAGTTTATCTAAAAATTTTAAAACTCAGAAGGCTAAGTATATTTATTAGAGGTACATATGTATTTTTATATATTTATATTTTATATTTTTATATTTTTATATTTGTATTTTATATTTATTTTTATATATATATTACGAAGACACAAGAAAGATTACGAAATGCACAAGGAATACTGATGAGATTACAAACTGTCATACACTCATATTTCTTCCTAAAAGAACAAAGCCAAGACAACCACCTGCCTCTATGTAGAAACTTTCTTATAGCAGTAAGTGCCTGATACACCTGTACTACAAAATTAAATCATAGCTATACTAGAGTTTAAGCCTAAAGCTGACCCTGCAGTCAAAGCCACCAGGCCACAAGCATTTTAAGGTACTACACACAAAGGCAGAATGAAGGCTTGTGTGTATGTTTTCTCTTTCACAGACATGCACACAAACGTGATCCCAAGCACCAGGTCTTCTATTCCCAAAGATGACAAAGAAACCCGGGTGTCCTCAGGATACACACTAGGGAAGGGGAGGGCACCTGATAACTACATAGTTAGTGCCTGTTCTTGCTCTTATTCCTTTCTGTTAACACAGCTAAAAGTAAAAATATCTTTTTTAATATTCCTTTTGAATGTAAGGAGTTGCTGTAGCCACTGCAAGTCTATCATTTGACCTCAAAGATAGTAGATTAGAGTCAAGAAAATGACTGGTGATACCTGTGAACACTTAAAGTAGTCCCTTTTTTGCAGAAAAAAAATATTCTCATGTTCTTACAAGTAGGTAAAAATAGACGTTTAGGTAAACAGTGCCACTTGAGATTTAAAATATCATCTTATATTGTATGTGTCAGCACTGCCAAAGTATTTACATAACCAGTCTGAACCCCTCAGTATTCATAACCCTTACTGAAACTAGGTTCAAGTGAGAAGCATCATCAGGCTGGTTTACAAACAGGAATGCTGAGAGTGACCTACAGGAAATCTCTGATCAAACCGAGTGCTAAACCTGGAGTCCCTGCCTAGTGGTTTAACCACAGTCCTATCCTCCTTTCTTAAACTTAACACTGTCCCTTCACTCATGATGAAGTGAAGAAACCACGGCTTCACCTCTGGGAGACCTTCCCTTTCCTAAAGGGAGGCTCTCCCCGAGAGCCATCATGCCCATTGTGTTGGAGGGAGACAGCACTTACCTGGGGCAGCCCTTACAGGTTCTGACCTTTTTCCTCTGCACTGAAGAGAAAATGAATCTGCATTTGCACCGTTTGCTGCTTACATACACTAATCTGTCTCTGCAGACCCAGGACATACCTCAGAGCTGTTAAGTGCACCTCTCAGAGCCCAGCAGGTACACCACATATCACACTGGCTGTGTTCTCAGCATGTAAGATATGCACACTAATGAAGTATTGTTCCAGGCAGACATCATGTGTTTTCTATTCCTCCACAAATGCCAGCAGTATTTTCTTTGCCTATAAACCACCATAATAACTACATACCTAGAGTAATAGAGATATCCAATAAAAAAACTGTAAGTGCCTCAGCTTCACAGTGACTAGATTGACTAATTAATTAGAAATGCTTGCATTTCTAATTAATTATGGCTTTTAAAGGTTTTCAAGCAAAAATTACTTGGAAATTTTATTTTGCAACTGTCTCGTATATTTGTGATGAAAGATGATTTTGACTACCATTTATGTGCCATTACATGATCATGATCATGCAGCTCTGAGCATGTTTTTTGCACGGCCGTACTCCTTCAGCAAACACACACTTTACCACAACTCCCTCCTGACAGAAAGCATCAAAGTGACAGTAGAGAATAAAGAGTATGCAGATATTTCTTTCAGATTATCAACTGTTGTCTCAGCAGACTGAATAAGGACAATTAAACATATATTAGACAACAGCCATCCTAAAGGTACTGCAGAGTAACAACAAGTCATTACAGAAAAAAATAAAATAACTCTCTCCAGCAAGATACAAAATATCTATCAAATAAGAGATAAAAAATAGCTTACAATTTGCTACACTTACTGTCCTTTTAATAAGAAGACTTTAGAACTAACCCCAGAGAAAATTAGCACCACAACTCAGTCCTCTAATATGCCTTCTTATATCCTATTCTATTCCAGAAATATTAAATTTCCCAGTCATTTATAACAGTATGCTTGGTTATGTACTGTCCTCCAAATTGAGGTCTGTTCTCCTAGGTTTATTCTACTCCTCATTAATACACATCAGCAGTTTCTTCTTTCATGAATGCAATATTGCTGTGATTATATTACTGTTGACACCTACTCTTGCATGGATAAATCAGAACATCCAATTCCAAAATATCACTAGTACATTTCTTATCAACTGAAATGTTTTGGATAACATACTTTATTATGTCCTCACCATTAATATACTAGAATCACTGTGTACAGTAGATTAAGGGCGTCTACTTCTGTGTGAGTGTTATTCTAATATTCCTACTCATACAAAGCTAACTATTTCGTTTACTTTAAGATCAAGTCTAAAATAAGCACTGCCTGTATTGCTGCAAAACTGAAAAATTCATAATGTTAATATCAGGAGGACTGGATATTTATTCATCTCCCTAATATGACACTGGCAACACTCCCTAGCACTGATAGGAATAGATGGCACCTATGATTAAGGTGTCAAATTAGGAGCCTGGAAATACTGGTTTTACAGGCTTCCCATATTAGCTTTGCAAATCACTTCTCACTTGGCTCTGCTAGATATAGCACAACCCCTCAGTTAACATTATTCGGGCTTCCTAAATGGGCAATGATTCTTAATATTTTCAAAAGATCTAATTAAAATGATGGGGGGCTGAGCTCATTAAAGAAGATCATTAGAAATAAGGAGTGGAGTGTAGAAAGTGATATTACATTGATGGTACAGGACTTACTACGCACTCCTTTCCCTCTATCATCTAAAAGGCTTCAGAAGGGAATAAAACTTCTACACCAAGCTCACACTTGCTGAAAAAGCATGTTTTTTATGTTGAGAATGTACCCAAAGGCCTCAGCCTTTGAGATCAAAGCCTCATTGGATCTAGGCACTGTAAGAACATAATGAGAGACAATTCCTGCTTTGTTTATAAATAAACAAAATAAACAGACACAAGAAGAGCATGAGAAGGAACAGAAGAAATATCTTGCCCAAAGCCAAATAGTAGATTCAAAGGTAGAGCTGGAGGCAGAATTCAGACCTTGCTGAAAGAGTGAAGAGGGAAGTATCTATTGTGGACACAGGAAAAAGATGCTGGTTCTTCATACTTGTGCCTTGTGATTCTTGAAATACATTCTTCAAGAAGTATCAAAAAGGGACAAGAGAGCCTGGGTAGGGGAAGAGAAATAGGAAAATGCTGCAAACCTGTTGCTAGCTAACGTCCCTGCCAAGAAGTAGAGACTCAGTGTGCTGGCTTTTGCAGTTAACTCTTGCAAACAAACCTGAAGCAAACAAACCTGGGTTTATTAGCTTCCCTTTGAGCCCAGTAATAAAAAATTATTGTATCTGCAGCAGGTCTGTTCAGTTTTATCCAAAGAACTGTAATGCAGTAAAATGGTGGGCCAGGTATAAGAGAGCTGCAATAAGCCAGCAGCAATTTTCTCTGGAAAAAAGCAGCCAGGGGCTGTTACAGGGTTTTTGGCTCCTGTCTTCAGGTTCTCAAGCTCTGGAACATAATGAAGACACAAAGAGTACAGAATTAGTTGAGCTCCCCTGGAAGAACTATATGTTTCTTTTGAGGACACAAAACTTTTCTTTTAGTCTCAGGAGCCTAGCAAGTGTGGGAGAGTTCATCTCTGCATTATGGCATCTTCCCTTCTAAAACCAATGTGTGTTGGTCACTGCCCACCACAGTCACAGCAATCCCATTCTTCTGGTAACAAGCCACCAGAAGCTGTTCCTTCCAGTGAACTCTCTTTTGCAAAGCCAGCAACAACAGAGCCCTGCAGTGTTGTGAAACTGCTAGTGTTAGACTGAATGAACACAAGTCAAACCATTATCAGAAATAATGAGTGCAAATTAGCCAGACAATCAGCCACCACAGTAAGAGAGACAGCTGAACTGCTGGCACATTCCACAAGACAAAATAAATAAATAAGCAAATAATAAGACCATTCAATAGATTACAATCCTCTGCAAACCTAGCTGTCGCCTAGTGCTTGGAATAGCAGAGTTATTAATACAAAATTAACATCTAATAACAGATCACAAACTTCAAGTGTCTGTTAAGAAACAGAAGGAGAAGAAAATTCTTTAAGGCAACTGGCTTTATCAGGAAACAGATATAAATTTCCTCTTTAATCAATCTATCAGAACTAAACACAAATCTAAGGATTTCAGATGCTGCTCATTAGATTGTCAGCAGAGAAAGAAATTCGTAAAATTAAAAGAATGTATGATAATGGCCAGTCTTCATGAGTGAAGATTTTTGGGAAAGGTCATTAACCCTTCCAGCCTGCGCAGTGGATTTTTAGGTGAGACACAGCGTGCGCTGAACTGAGCCCACCCTTTAGTCCGGAGGTTCATCTGCCGGGGCCGAGCAAAGCTTGGACAGTGGCAGTGAGGTCCCCAGGATGTAGGTTTGTTTAGAGTGACCTTCTCTTAGGTGGATTGCCTACCAAGGCTGACGAGCTCCACCTGCCCAGGGGGCCGGGAATCGAACCCGGGTCGCAGAGGTGAGAGTCAGGCACTCTAACCACTAGACCAAAAGAATGTATAGTACATAGAAATTTATTATTTTGATCAATACTTTTCTTTTGCCCCCACCAGAGCAGTAAAACTCTGTGATCAGATTCTGCCTAAGAATCCTTATACAGAGCTTTCCTGACATATGATCCCTTTCCACAAAGGCAATTCGAGAATTCAAACCATAAATTCATTCTCCAGGTTTAAATAACTTCCATTGCACCACACTCAGAGATTTTAAGTGCAGTAGAAGTGGACTGTAGTGTCACTCATGGCACATATAGGGATTCC